TGAGAAATTACAGCAATCATATTTTAGTAGATCAATATTAAAGTCACCCATAATATAGCATGGCTTATCCCATTTATCTAATTTAGTCAAAATGGTTTTAAGGTCATTTTCAAATTCTTTAAATCTGTTGTTTGGTGGTCGGTATATCGTACCTACTATAATATTTCGACGAGGTATCGCTTTGAAAGAGCAAGAAACAAGTTTGGGGAAGTACAAAACTACCAGAGTGTCCACATCTATAATTCAAATATTTCAAGGATTGTGTAAGTTTAGTTTATATTGACAGATCTTACTCGTTTACCTTAGGAATCGAATGTCGAAAATACGTAAGCTTATATTTGCCAAATTATGTGATTGCCGCACATTTTGCAAATGTTACTTGCACAGCGACTGTTTTTTGGGCCTTTATCAGAAATCTTGTATAGAATTTGCTGAGTATAAATGTTTTTCCAGTTCCTTTCATTATATTCCGCAGATCCCGCTTCGTTTTATAGAGTGAGTTGTAGTTGGAACTAGACAAGGGTAGATCGCAAGTCACGATGCAAACGCGGGCTGATAACAGAGTACAAATAAAATTTTGAAATCTACGATGGACTTTGGCTTTTCCTTTTATTTACGTAGTATACTTTCCAGTCTTCCGTAAGGAAACCCGCATAAATGTAAACTCCTTAGCTGTAGTAATCATATCAATTCAGCTCTCTGCTGATCTCGTCATTTCCAAAAACTCCATGTTGTGTTCCAGGTTGTGTTCGGAGCATTTCACGGCCGACTGTTTTTTAGCGTGCTTACAAGCAGAACTTCTCGGTTCAAAACCAAGAGCCAGCCTGAAGCCAGATGCTATACCCTCGCTATTCTCGCATCGACCCCCGCCCAAAAAGCCAAGACTATCGTCCGAGAGACGTTTGTTAGAGTGTTAGAGAACAGCAGTGGCTATGAATGCTGCCAGCTGTATACAAGGGCTCCGAGTTGTCACGCAACTGGGGCAAATTAGTAACAAAATGATAAAGCTGTTTCAAAAAAAATAATTCAACTCTTTAATAAGTTACATAACTCTTTGAGGTTGTATGCAATCTAAATATACCCTCATCAGGTGTGTAGTGGCAAGGCCAAAAATGTAAGATATTTAAAGAAAGGAAAATGGAAGAGAATTTGAGGATTTAATTATTTAAATTTTTAATTTAAATCCAAATAGGCAACCCCCAACCTGCAGTACTCCTTTTAATATTTGGTGCTCATTTTTCCATTCTTAAAAATTAATCTGTCATCTGTTCCAGAAACTGAAATGAACTGAATATTAAATCTAAAAAATTGAAAAGAAAAGAAAAACATGAATTATACTTTATACAATACCCAGAACTTTTACTGTGCTGTATTTCCATTCCTCTTAGTAACCAAAGGTTAGCACCGCATGAATCAAAAACCCCAGGAATGGAGTGCAACACTCACGGCCCTGCACATTCCCAAAATATTGCTAGCAAACCTAGGCCTCCTAGAGTAGATTTTATTGCTAAGCACACATCAAGATATTCAAATAATTAAAAATGGCAATGATCGTGCCTGCACATAGCATAAATATTTTAATATAGTCAGAGATACAAAGGGTACAAATAACGTTTGTTTACATTGAATTGTTTCCATCCGAGAAAGTGTTTAAGACTTTCTCACTATGAAATATATCTATGCCTATCTATGCTTTGGAAGCAGACATGTTCCCGGGGTGTCTAATCAAACAAAATCTAACTGAAAACCAATCGAACTCAATCAAACGATTGGTGTTCAATTGGGTTCGGCAATTGCTGGTTTGCAACCATTCCCGAGAGATTTAAATGACAAAGACCCTGGCGGCCATGTTGGATGACAGGAACAATAAAGCTAATTAGAATTATTTTGTTAATGGTCATCCAACATGGCCGCGATGACGTCAGTTGCAAACCAAGAATTGAACATAATCGCATATTTAATTTTATGTGAGTTTGATTATTGAACCAATTGAACACAATCGAACCAAATCCAGTTCGATTGTGTTCAGAATCAACCTTTTCATTTTATTATAACGGAATAAACCGAAAAACACCCCAAAAATATAAAAGATTAAGTAGGTAATTGAATGTTCGATTATGGTTAGATTGAGTTTGATTATCATATGTTCGATTGACAACTTTTTCTTGTGAGTTTGCCAATGTTCGATAGAGTTTGATTACCGAACATTCGATTAGACACCCCAGGCATGTTCCACTAAATTAGCAAAAAATATATTTTCTGCTTGCTACTTTACTACTACAAAACATAATGACATTACAGTGTCGACAGCTGCAGTAATCATAACAAATCTACAAATTTTGCAGCAACATGTTCAACTAAATATACAAGAAGTTTAGAATGTATTGTTTTCTGTCTTTCAGTAAACTTACATGTATACAATGTAATGTAATGAAATGAATAAATAGAGAAATTAAAATGTAACCTAAAAATAAATATTTAAGACATTCAAATCAGAAATTAATAAAGGGATAAAGAACCAATCGACTCAGAAGAGGAGAATGAAGGAGAAGGTGGTGAAGTCCAACATAAACAACCAACTGTATATTTGCTGAGGTGATTGTGAAGCGAAGGCTTTCAGTTTGGCTGACTAATATTACTGCTGCCAACAACTTTACGAGCTCAATCAAAACTTTGATGAATCAGGTCAGTTTCCATGAGCATGCAAAGTTCAAAAACTGTTTGCCATGAAATACACTGATTAATTCAGTTCCAGTTCTGCTGGTTTGAAACCTGCGTATTGGCCACTTTCTTCAGGAAGTTCTTTACGAATGGCCTTTTCAACGCACGCTGGAATCACCCGCTGGTTTTTCTTCCCAGTACACCATGGACCCACCAGTGCGGCTAAGCGCCATGTTCTACAGAATTATGGAAACAACATTACCGTGACTACAATGCAAGATTATTGGATTCATGTATTAAAAGGGAACCAAAACAACAGAAATGTGGACAAAACACTGACCGCCAGTCCATGTACCACCCCAATGGACTACCCAAATGGACTACCTAAATGGACTACCCAAAAATGGACTACCCAAAAATGGACTACCCCTAAAAATACTGGAAATATTCAAAGAAACTGCTATTATACTTTTTGTGTATAACTTGTTTATTTCCGTCCTACATCGTTGCCTTTTTGAATAATTATTATGAATAATGAAAAAACTGCTGAACACAAAACGAGAAGGCTCAAATCAAATCGGGGCAGATCCAGGGGGTGGGGGTGGATTGGCTGGCTAGCCACCCACCTAAATCCGCCAAAAAATAAACAAATTACATTTAAAATCGAAAATACATGTAAATAAAAGCACATCGGGCAGGTATGAAAATTGTTGTTGTTGTTAGCAAACAATTAAAATAATTACCGATTACCCCCCCCCCCCCCCCCCCCCACCCTCTTTCAAAAATCCTGGATCTGCCCCTGTGAAATTGTGAATCTTTATCTAGCTGTATTTTACGTTTTCATTTGACAACAAAACGACCGAACAATAAAAAAGGAATCCTCGAACGAAACTAGTATTTATAAAAACAAACCTGATCCGTCAAACTTTTGATTTAGCTCCTCAAGTTCTTCACAGCTGAAACATTCGTCGACCGAGGAGTCCGAGGACATAGCTTCACAGCCTCCGTAAATACACCATTATTTGTTACCGATTCGGTCGGGTTCACCGCCTTCTTCTTCGTCTTCCCCTTGTGAGTCGCTTGGTTCTTCACCAGGAGGATATGTTGGCTCGAAAAGAAACGGTTCTACACTCATAGTAAGTAACAAATTGGCAAATAACGGGATCAATAAATGCAAATATTTGTATTGTCTTCACTGCGAAATAAACACACTTCCCCATATCATACGTCACAGCTTACCGCTAAAAGCCGCTGACAAGAATCATGAGCCCACAGGGATCAAGCACAAAAAGCGCGGAAAAGGCACATTCAAACCAAAATATCTCGCAAACGAAATGCAACAGACACAAATAACCACCGAAACTTGGTTTTACATGTCTTAAACTTCTTAAAAAAAAAATACGAAAAATATATTGCTTTTTGACTTCAGTTCTCCTTTAAGGCGCTAAACTTTTAAACCTGATCTTCGGGATTGAGGGCGTGAGTTCAAATCCTAAATGTTTTTTTTGTTGTTTTGTTTTTTTCCGGTTCGAATCCAGGCCGTTCTTTTAATAACATTGACTTCGACGTAATCTTTGTACACGTAAATGTAGAAACAAGAACGGCTGCTGAAGAATAACAATTTTTACTCCAAGTTTGTTTATCGAACGAATTTAACAACAGGAAAAGGAAAGACGACTCAGGAATTTTCTAAAAGTACGATCAACATATGGCTTAGTTTTCATTGTAGACGTGAAGACTTTACTCAGTCTGCTCGCTTGTGTCTGAAAATAATTCGCCGATCCGATATTGCGAAGAAGATTTTATCTGCAAAAGCGAAGTGGTTTCAGATCATTCGGACGGAAAAGTGGGGAAAACAGTACAGGAGCGCTACAATTTATTACAGATGTGTCGGGAGACGAGCGAACTCCAATCGAAACCAAAATCCGGTGGCATAGCAAAACACGGCGTTCGTCCGGCGATTCTCAGAAACCTTGCAGCGATTCTTGGAAACCTTGCAGATCCAAATCGCAGGCGTGCCCGTTACTAGGCAACAAAAGCTTCGCGAGGACCTGCGAGTCACGTATTACTAGTATATGTTAAGCTTGGTTGAAACCCAGTGATATGATTCAGTTAGGGCAAACGTACTCAGAAAAAGAATTCCGAGTTCTCCCAACATGAGTCAATACTATGACCTGCCACACACTGGTCTTTCTCATTGTGTTTCTGTCAAGCCTAGACAATCACATATATTATCATTTCTGTCCATACATATTTTACATATCGATGAAACTAATTCTAGCAGTATTCAAGCCGTTTGTCACATTTGAACCTAGTTATCTGGCCCAAGCTCCCAAGAGTCTCCTGTAGCTCAGTGCTATAGAGCGTCCGTCCGGTGTGCGGAAGGTCATGGATTCAATTACTTTTGGAAAAAACTCGGAATTCTTATTCCGTTTAATCAGATCGTTCTCATAGCGTCACAGTAGCTGTCGTTTCCTTGAGTATCGAATATGTTGTTTTGTTTTCCTTCAGGTTTGGTGTCCGTATACAGAGTAGTTTAGTTTAGTGTATGTAGTAGTTTTGTTGTGAGTTGTCGTATACAGTGTTTTCACTTGATGTCATAGCCGCCATATTGGTGCCCCCGTACAAAATATTTTTTTATTAACTGCTTTTGTTAGGGACAACAACATGGCTGCCACGGCTTTTGTCATTTAATTCCCACAGGACTGAGTGAAAACGCTCTGTAGTGCCATTCAGTGTTGTAACTTACTTATATCGTGTATTAATATTTATTATATGGCAAACTGGTCCACGATGAAAAGGAACATTCTGATTGGTTCCCTGAGCGGTCCGAATTTTGCAATACGGACCGCAAAGATGGACCGCCTCACGAACTCATTTCGCCAAATTCCTTTTATGAAACATTGAACAAAAGAAAACTGTTTTCTAAGAAGAAAATTTTTTCCTCATGTCTGGCGGACAATTTTGGTTAAACTTTTCGCCACGTGGCCTGAAAAATAAAAGAATATATATATTTTTTTTTTTTTTTTTTTTTTTTTTACAAACAGACTTTATTTCATTACAAAGACAAAAAAGTTACAGAAATTACAAAAATTACAAATTATTTCATATATACAATAGATTAGCTACAACAGCCGCGCAATAGCTGCTGTGCATTAACTTATAATTACACAAATAGAGAATTAATTGAATTACAATATACTTACTTTACAACAAGTAATGTTAAATCTTAATTATAAATACTATACAGTCACAAATACACGCGCAGTAACAAAAGGAAAATAAAAATTATAAACTTAGAGTGGAAAATTATCTGTCCATTTATTATAAAAAGTTGTTAAAGCATTATTCTTGGTGGAAATGAATTTTTCTATTTGAATATTTGATTTTAACTTTAAGTTTGAAACCTTCGATATTTGGAAGTACATGCATCCTCCTGCAATCCCATAAATATACTTTACCAATTAATATTAGATAATTTTGTAAGGGGCATGACGATGTTATAATACCAATGATGATGTCTTGTAGGCAGAGGACTTGGTATTGTTTTGTTATTGTAAAGTGGTATTGTTCAAAATTTTTCCAAAATAAATTTGAATACGGACAGTAGAAGAGAAAGTGGTGTAATGTTTCTGGTTCGTTGTTGCAAAAAGTACATTCATCGTGCTCACTATATCCAATTTTAAATAATTTCGTATTAATGTAAAGTATCGAGTTTAAAATTTTGTATTGAAAGGCTTTGACATAGGGCTCGTGCGCTATAGTATGTGGAAGAATGAAGGCAAGTTTCAAATCTTCAGTCTTTCTCGTCAGAAAATAGATCGCGGAATTCTAACCACCACTGCAGAAGTTCTCTATAGAAAATTGAAGTTATTGAAATATCTTTTAACAGAACTAACTCAATCGCTGCCATGATCTGTTTTTAATCGCTGGAGTAATGTCCGTTGAATTTACGAAGTCTTGCAAATTGTTTGATATTAGCCAATAGTCCAAACGACAGAAAATTTGTGGTGATCTTTGGCTCCAAGTGTAACTTTTAGATTGAGGATTTTTAATTCTCCAAATATCTACCAGATCCAATTCGTTTTGTAAACATTGAATATTTTCTATTACCATTTTCCTCGGAAACATTACACCACCCTTTTTTGTCAAGTTTTGGATTTAGAGGGCAGTTAAAATCACCTCCAAAAATTATATTTTCTTCACAATCTAAATCTTCTGTTTGCAACGTTTTGAGTAGATTTTTAAAGAATTTGCATGTTATTTGTCTTTATTTGGTGCGTAGATGTTTACTAATACGTAAACCTTGTCTTCGATGTCTACCTTTAAAACAACAAAACGCCCCCAAGGGATCTATAATAGTTTTTTGAATTGAGCAATTAAAACCGTTTCTAATCAACACCGCAACACCGCAAGAATTTGGGCTTCCATGTGAACAATACATTTTACTACCCCATTCATTTGTCCATTGTTTCTCTGATTCCTCTTTTGAATGTGTTTCTTGCAGAAATATAATGTCTGCTTTTCTTTTACGACACCACGTAAATATGACTCTTCTTTTATGGAAATTGTTTATGCCTCTTACATTTAGAGAGGACTAATTTAATAAGTTTGGTATCTATCGCTAATTTGTATTCATGGCAATTATTCATATTATTATTCTGGGATTTCATTTGGATGTGTACGTACATTTCTTTAACATACGGAACCGAGATCTTTTTCCACTCCGAAAGAAAGATACATGTAAAAAACAAAAAACATATATGCAAACACAAACACATAGTAAACAGATAACCTATCATTTACCGGACGTGTATTCTTTCTCATCTCTCAAACCTTTCATGGATTTATTCGAAGTTGTTCTTAATATTTCCATAGTAGGGGAGGTTCTTGGTTTCTTTTCCTCTGTAGATATGACCATCTATGATTTAATTTGTCAAATTTGAAGTGGCTCTTTTAATGTTCCTGTTTCGCCTTTTTTTAAACCGGGTAGAGTGTTTTATGAATTTCCTCCAACTTCTTTCGGAAAGTCGTCTGAAATTCCAATATTAGTTCCGCTTTAAGTTCTTGACGAAAGAGCCGAACGAATTCTTTTATCCTGATAGTGGCTGAATCTAACAATTATTGGATTTGAACGGGGCTGGGATTGAGATCTTTCTGGCTTGACTTTTTAGTTGGGAATTCTGGTGTACCCTTTCAAACCGGATAGCGTTGACATCTTGGAGTGGAATTTGCATTTTAGTAGCAAAGATATTTCTTACCAGTCCTTCGGTATTCTCGTCAGATTCTTCCTGAACATTGAAGATTCTCATGTTCTCACGCCTGGTGTATGCTTCAAGATTGATATTTCTTCGTTTCAGGATTTCAATATCTACGTTGAAGGATTCGATATCTTCGCTGTTGTCTTTGACTGTCGCGGATGTTTTCTTCAAATCTGATTTTAGACTGGCAATCTCTTTGTCGGCGAACTCCAGAGATTCTTTCAACTCTTTACATCTTCTCTCAGCTCACAAATTTCTTGTTTAAGTGAATTGATTTCGCCACATGCTGTAAGAACTTGGTCTAATTTAACATTCATTTTCATCGAGGCGAGTTGAGTTCTCACAGCAGCGTCGTCCTTCGAGCGCCACGTGTTCGGCGTCCCTCGTCTGTTTGGGATCCATTTTCTCTGAGCCTTTTACGACGGCCTTTGTGTGCAGAATCGGGGGGCTTGTCCTTCTGTTTCCTTTCCCATCAAATTTCCATTATTTAGTTGTCCATGGAAGGTTTGGAGGTTGTCAAATCTAAGTGAAACATGGTTTTAGTTGACGGAGCTGAAAAACACACGTCTGACTTCAACGAGTCCCACTGCGCATCCTCAAATGAAAATGCTCAGCTCAGCAAAAGAATATGCTCAGCTTTGGCGCGCGCGAGTTAGCCGAGAATGGTTGCATTAATTTCTCAGCAAATATTTTAAAAAGCCATTATAATAAAAACTTTATTGAACTAGCTTGTTCGCGTCCGTATTGGGAAATATTGGTCTCGTTCTTTTTTGGCAAGTTTATGGACCTCGCCTTCGGCTCGGTCCATAAACTTGCAAAAAAAGAACTCGACCAATATTTTCCCAATACGGACCTCACGCTAGTTCAATAACATCTATTTATTAAAAAGTAGAAACAAATATCTTGCCAACTTAGGTTTGGGGCGAGGTACATGTATATTACAGTTAGCCGTGAAAGATGTTGTAAAGCACTTTATTAATACATATGGCAAATTGGTCCACGACGAAAAGGAGCATTCTGATTGGTTCCCTGAGCGGTCTGAATTTTGCAATACGGACCGCTAAGATGGACCGCTAGCGAACTCATTTCGCCGAATTCCTTTTATGAAACATTGACAATTTAAAAAAAAAAAAACATTATAATAAAAACTTTATTGAACTAGCTTGTTCGGTCCTCATTGGGAAAATATTGGTCGAGTTCTTTTTTTGCAAGTTTATGGACCTTGCCTTCGGCTCGGTCCATAATCTTGCAAAAAAAGAACTCGATCAATATTTCCCAATACGGACCTCACGCTAGTTCAATAACATCTATGTCTAAAGCGTGACAACATGCGACCGGCATACTGATAAGAGGGGAGCTGTACATGTATGTAGTGGATTCGAAGTGGGACCTGTGTTCTTTAGTTTGAGGGGGATATGTTACAGTTAGCCAAAAAAACCTCCCCCAATCCTAGGTTAGGGTTTGGAGGGGTTACGGGAGGCGGGGGGGGGGGGGGGGGGATTATTATTAGTAATTATTTCAAGATTTAATTTAATTTCCCTTTTGTCAACAAATAATTTAAATGGAAAATTTATATCTACAAATTGCGAACCTTTGATTATCTTTTTTGATTAAGTTACATCGAAATCAAAGGAGGAAGAGAAAGAAGAGACTGATGGAATCTGAAGAGGAGATTGTAGTCGGATCTGAGGAGATACTTGAAGTGAGATCTGAGGAGGAGGAGATACTTGAAGTGGAATCTGAGGAGATGGAGATGGAAGTTGGAGCTGAGGCCGGTGACGCTGAAAATAGATGCCCCATCTTCAAGTAAATTTCACATTTTACATGTGCCTGTACATCCTGTATGACTTAAAGACTTCAAGAATCCCTAAGTCTTATAGTAAATTCTAGCAAGCCTCCGGCACCCATCTGTGTAGTGGAAAAAAATTAGGACTGCCTCCATTTACATTTACTGGCGGGATTAGGTTGGGCGGGACTAGGGTAGTTGATGAAGTTGACATGGATAACTTTTATCTCATGCAGGAATGTTTGTGCATATAAAATAACGTCAGGTTTAGTCACGCGCATTAACCTCGCGCTAACGTTTTCAAATCATGTGTAACATCAGTTTCCTTTAAACTGATGAACACTTACGAATTAGCCGAAATGTCTT